CGTCTGGATTCAAATCCTGGCTCTGGCACATATGTGCTGATAAGCCAGGTTGTTGAGCACTCTGAGTCTGATGTCTTTAATGTATGAAATGTATAAAATGAAAATAACAATATTATTATTATAAACAATAATAATAAACAAAGGTTTGTTGGGATAACACATGTATTTAGAATGGTGTCTGGCAGGTATTACGTGTAATGTAATAAATATTAGTCATTGTTATTATGATGATCATATTATTATTATATAGACACTTGAAAGCATGAGATTGAAATACATAGCCACTGAGCTAAACAAACAAACATGTAATTTTCTCTATAAGTAGACCCTTTACAAGATTGATACTTGAGATCAATCCGGGTCACCACTGGTTGGAATGAGGCCTATTTACCACCTCAGAACACGTTTAAGGAAGACTCATTTCTGAAAAATCATCCCAGGTAATATGTTAGATGAATTGTCCTCCTTTCTAAAAGGAAGACTTCACCTCTTCCAGTACTAAGAAAAAAGAGCTGAGAGAATGGTTTCCTGAAAACAAACCCATAATTTGATGTTCTTCAACCCAAATAATTAGCCAGTGGCTCCTAAGGAGTTTCTTTGTAAGACATTCTGGATATGAGGCCAATCACTTGCTAGAACAGCAGCTTCTAACCTTAGCAATATTAAGGTAAAAAAAAAAAGGTAATAAATTAAAAATTATTATAATCAATTAATTATAAAAATTATAACCAATGAATTATATTTTTATTTTTATTGAAATATAGTAGATTTACAACATATTTGTTTCAGATGTACAGCAAAATGATTGAGTTATATGTATAAATGTATACATTCTTTTTTTACTTTCTCTTCCATTATAGGTTATTACAAGATATTGAGTATAGTTCCCTGTGCTATACAGTAGGCCCTTGTTGATTATTTTATATATAGTAGTGTGTATATTTTAATCCCAAACTCCTAGCTTATCCCTCTCCCCATTTCCCCTTTGGTAACCATAAGTTTGTTTTCTATGTCTGTGGGTCTATTTCTATTTTGTAAATAAGTTCATTTGTATCCTTTTTTTTAGATTCCTCATATAAGCAACATCACATATTTGTCTTTCTCTGTCTGGCTTACTTCACTTAGTATGATAATCTCTAGGTCCATCCATATTGCTGCAAATGGCATTATTACATTCTTTTTTATTCTTCTTTTATTTTCATTCTTTACCAATAATTTGATACTGTATTTAAATTAATATTTCAGTAATCATTTCATTTTCTACCTGCTTGTGAAAAATAGTACACATATATGTAGGGCAGCTATTCATTAAACCAACTAAAAATGCTTGCTGAGGACCCTTGTAATCACTCCAAGTACCCCACAGGGTCTAGGGCTCACAGATGCGGAACCTCTATACCAGAACATACATGCAGATTTTTTCAGCCTTGGCTCTCCTGAGAGAATTCCCCCATGTTGTGTTCAGTGACATCATCTTGTACTAAGATCATAACAGTTTCACCGAGAGTTTTGTGTTTATCGTGTAGAATGTGTGTACAAGCCACACACTGTTGTAAAGGCCTCTAAGCCCAGGAGAGACCGTCCAGTTTCTTCAAATACTTAAATGTTCTCTGTGTTCTTGACTGTGGTTTGTGGTATCTTCCTTCTGATTCTAGCAGGATCCTTTCTGTAACTGGTCCTAACTGCTTTCTGTAAGGATGCAGATTGCAGAGACAGTTCCAACTTACTCAGTGAAGGCCCTCCAACTTCTGGACTTCTTTTCTTCTGCATGACAAAGATGAGACTTCTTCTCTGTAGAGATCACAGGTGCATCTGTACAGGTGTGAGTCCCTTGTGAACCCCTGGGAGAAGCTATGACTTGTGGGGTCAGGTCCCACCCATTCATCTCCTCTTCACGCAATGGTGGAAAGCCAATAGCGTTAACACAGGCAGGGAGGTGAGTCCGCAACGAATTGCTCTTATGCAGCAAAGACCAACTGGTGGTTCGCTTTTTTAGTAAATTCCCAAAATCTGGAGTCATTTGAGTCCAAAGGGGGTACTTGTGAGAGTAGGGGCAGGGCAGGGGGAACAAGGCAAAAATAGAAGCAACAAAAATATGCCTTCAGTGTTTGCCTGCTCATTAGACCAGCACTGAGCCAGTACTCCCATGGCCTGAATAACTGATACTTTTTATAAGTAACTGAAGAGCTATAAAAAGCTTAGCATTTAAGAAAACAACAAACAGCTGTGTCGAATGAACAAGAAAAATCTAAAGAAAGAGCCTGTCTGTGTGGCAAGAGGTCACACTGCTTCATGAGGAAGTGCTAGAACATCACCAACATTTGCTACATCAGTGTGTTTTCCTGGCTGGTCATACTACTCTTCCTTTCACCTCAGTGCCACTTCCCCATTGAAACAGAAAAACAAATGCATGTCACCAGAATGCTCCGCAATATTTCCTGGAAACAGCATTTCTTTTCTGTGCACTTAACCGTGTGTTGGGCGGTGGTGCACATGAGGGGCTCCCGATCAGCAGAGTGAACAAACACTTTATAGAGTCAGGCTGAGCCTCACTGCCCTGGGACCCCTGGGCTTAGTTCACATGTGTCTTGAGGTCCCACACAGCTGCCCTTCACTTTAACGGAAAATGCCATCTGCAGGAACCACAGCTGGCAAAAGGCAGCAATAACCCTCCCTACTTCCTCTGGTAATTATCCATAAACTCAATAATGAGGCAATTACCAGTGGGAGGCAGTATGGTAAAGTGATCAAATATATGGGCTTGGGGCTCTGAATTCCAACTCCTGCACTTACTCCTGGGTGACCTTGAGAAGTTAACTAACCTCTCTGCACCCTAGTTCCCTTAATAGTAATTAGTAAGCCAAACAAAGTCATCTTCCCCCAGCCTTCAGCTGAGCCTTTAGTGTGCTTGTTAGACAGTGGTCTATGATGACTCTAAGAGGGCATACGGCCATCTTCCCTAATTTCCAAGCTTTAGGTATCTTTTCTTAATGGCACATAATAAATGTTAGTTGGGACAAACAGTAAGTGAATAGGAAAATGCAGACCTAGATCCAACCATTTCAATAATCACATTAAATGTAGGTGGATTCAAGACTTTTATTTAAAAAGCGGAGATGGTCAGAACAGATAAAAAGTAAAACCCAGCTATGTATTGCCTATAAAAGATATACTTTAAACATAAGGATTCAGATCAGTTGAAATGAACTGGATGGAAAATGTGTGTCATAAGAAGGCTGGAGCAGCTATAATAATATTAGATAAAGCAGACTTCATTACAAAGAGTTTGCCATAGGAAAAGAGGGACTTCTCCTAATTCAACAGAAAGACATAATAATTATACATGTATATGCACCTAATAACAGAGTTTAAAATACATGAAATAAAATAGGCACTTAAAGGGAGAAAAGACAATTCTATAAACATAGCTGGAGATTTTAACACACACCCCCATAGCAATTGATAGAGTAGCTAGACCAAAAAATCCCTAAAAATGTAGAGGATTTGAACCATACTATTAATAAATATCAACCATACTTTTCTTTTCCTTTGATACACATTTTCAGACACTTGCAAAGCTGCCAGTTCTGGCTCCCCACCAGCAAGGAAGCCACTCAGTCCCATTGTCCCCCAGAAGTGTGGACGGTATCATACTTGGAGGAGCCTTTCAAAACTTAGTCTACGGAGAAGTGTCTGGATGCTGCAAGGTGGTTACATCTTGTTGGTTTTTTTTTTTTCCCCTTCAGCCTGTTTTATATGAACCAACTCTAGAATCACCAGTCTGTTCCCACAGCCATCCTGCCATCTGCTAGGCTTGACAGCCATTACCGGAGCTTTCAGAATCCTTCCCTAAGATATCTGGAGTGTCGCCACAACAGAGGTTTAGCCATCACATTTCATACATACTGCCTAGGGCAAGACCTCCCTCCGTATGAGGAGAGTGTTGGAGGTCATGTGGAATATTAAAATCCTTTGAAACCGTCCATAGCAAAAGAATTTACACTTCGGCTCTGCCCCTTAGGGCAGAACTCTAAACAAACATAGCCCTCATTTATCTTTATTAGCAATTACTCAGATAAAATTGAAGATTGTATTTGAAAGAAAAAATAAATAGCAAAAAAAATTGAACTTTTGAAAAATGTAAAAGATCAGGTTGTACCTTGAAAATATTTGCTGCTGCCTCTTTTCTGCCTAAGGCTGTGAGTTACGTTGCAGCCTTGCATTCCATGGAGTGTCTGCAGAGTGAGATATGTGTGATCCAAGGGCCTTATTATCCCAGGTGAACTGGGCAAAGGCTTCCCCAAATAAGCAACTTATTTTTCTTTCACTTGAGGACATGGACCTCAGGTAGATAAAATTTCAGTTAAAAGGTCTGCCTGCAGAGAATTAGACACTTCCAAGGTTTGTGGATTTCACATGTGTTGGCATCTCTAACCACCATAAATCTCCTTTCCAGCATTCCATTCATCCCAACAGCCCTTGCTATGCCAAGCCCATGATGGAGGTTAGACAAAGTCTAGGGATTATGGATGTGGGACAAGAGGGGGCCTTTGCAAAGGTTTTCTTTAAGACCCATGATTTAAATAGTCCATTCAGGGGACTTCCCTGCTGACCCAGTGGTAAAGAATCCGCCTGCCAATGCAGGGGACGTGGGTTTGATCCCTGGGCAGGCAACTAAGATCCCACATGCCTCGGGGCAACTAAGCCCGCACGCCACAACTACTGTACCTGCGTGCCTCAACTAGAGAGAAGCCCGCACACCGCAATGAAGACTCGCTGCAGCCAAAAAAATTTTTAAATTTAAAAAGAAAATATATTAATTAATTAAATAATTTAAAAAAATAGTCCATTCAGTCATAGGCTAGGGCAACAGAAGATCATGGCATTGATAGAGGCAGAGAAACCATTTCTTAATAGTGAAGGCTTCTTGTCTCAGGATGCCCTCCCAACAGAGCAGTAGCTCCCAGAGAGAAGAATCTACTATTTTCAAGCCCTTTTACCTCTAATCCCATTGGCAACGTCGGTATTCTCTCCTTAAGGAACATTCCTAGCACTTCGTCTCCCAAATGGCAATACCAAAGCCCAGTCAGCTGCAGAAGACGTGGCCATCGATCACAAGATCTTTCCCCACCTTTAGGATCTTGTTCACCTGGACTCTTCCCCATGATATGGCCTGTTAAAAAGGAACACAATTATAAGATTCTCCCCTTCTTCAACAGAGTATTATTCTTTGCTCAAAAAGAGAATCTGGTTCATTCCATGATTAATCTTTTCAGTGCTCTGGAAGGGCCAATAGGTGACAGGCATGAGGGTAAAGCACTTCCACGAACACATTTTTTACTGGAACTTGTCCTTTTGCAAAGCTCTTCTGCCAGATTCCATTAGGAAATTGCAAGCAGATTCATTTATCCAAGTGCTTCTCTCTCTCCTCCTCATAAATATATAGACATCACATGGCAGAGAGGGAGAAGACGCTGACTCTCTTGCATGGCATACCCTGCACAGCAGACGTGTAGGCAAATGCCAATACTGAACACGGTAGTGCGTGCATATATGCATATGAATATATATCATGTTATTACTCCTTGGCAATGAGATTCCAAGTAGCTACAGAGGGGAGGGGAAAGTCATAATCAATACAGCTGCACTTCAGAATGTCAACTGAAGGCAGACAATGATAAGAAGATGGGCAAGGCTGTCCCTAGCAACATGAAAATAAGAGCCAGGACCACCTAAGGATTGATTAGGGACTGGGCCAAATTCCAGCCCTAAACTCATCACAAATTATGCTAAGAGCTCCCCAGGGAAGGCTCCAATTGGCATTTTTAAGCCACACATCCCATTCTTTTGATAGAGACATCAGGACTGCCTGGGAGACTATCGGAGAATAAAAACGCAAAGCAAAAGATGAATTCGGAAAGTGCTGCTCACCCTTCCAAATTCTTTCAAGTTTCCCGAGAAATCCTTCAGCTCCTTTCAAACAAGCTGATGTTATTATTCCACTTTGTCATTCAGGTCCCTGATGAAGGGCACAGCCAGCGCGCAGAAAGGTAAAGAGAACAGTAGATGAAAATGTCAGCCGACAGGTAGGAAGGCTGAAGCATGGCAGAGCCTTCCAGCTGGAATGAGAGAAGAACCAGCCCCCAACCAAAACCTATTTTTCAGGGAATACACTTTAAGACTGTTTTCCTTCTTCTTCCAGGAACACTTAGGTCCTGTCTTTTTGTAGACAGAGACATACACTTAATCACAAGCATATTGTATGAAAGAAAAATGTATAGACCTTCTAGACCTCCAAATATATAGCAACGGTTCCAATTTTCATTACCAGAAATAACTAGAGGAAATGAGAAGCAGGTGTGGGAAGGCTTCCCTGAGCAATGCCAGGGCTTCGTTTTAATTCAGTCGTGTATGGCCTGCCACTACCTCCCGGCCCTACTGCTCACATGCTCAGAGGTCAGGCTATTAAAATCAGCCAGATACACACAAATTCATTTCTTTTAGACCCCAGCTCTACATGCCTTGCCAGCGGAACGCTGCACCAACTTCTGACAGAAACATCACTGTATCTCTAAGGTAATAGAGGTTCTTCTTAGGTGACACAAAATGTTTGGGGCATAGCTTTGGGGAACTCAGAATTCATCAGAAGAGAAGTGCTCATATACAAAGCATGGAACTTCTTTTGGGTGGCTGGTAGAAATCTAAAATAAGTTCCATATTTCTTCTATTGGTAAAGTAAATCTTAATGGAGTATGGAATATGTGGCTTGTTGGCATTGGGAACTGTTCAGATCACATACATTTTTGATAATGGCCTTTGTTTGAGGACTACTGCCTGGAGAAGAGGAAGGATGAGGTAGATCCGAGGATCTACCTTTTTTTTTTCCTTTTCATAAATAACCCACATTTGCTTCTTTTCCATCTGTAGGTAGCCCTTTTAATGCTTCGAAAATTTAGAGCTGCCCACAAATTAAAAAGAGGATATCAGTATCTGCTTTGAACATATCTACCAGAGACCAAAGCCCGCAGAGGAAGAATAACAGTTAATTTACTGGACCAGAGTCCATTGCAAGTGCCTGTTGTAGCCCGCAGAGGAAGAATAACAGTTAATTTACTGGACCGGAGTCCATTGCAAGTGCCTGTCGTAGGATAGTTCTTTGTCAGTTTACAACGCAGCTCTGGGATGATCACATATGGCAGTTTCAGTAGAGAAAGTAGGGTCAGGAAAGCACTCAAGCCCTGGTTCTGCCACCTCCTGGTTGCTGACCTTTGACGAGTGACTTAACCTCTGTAGAACTTAATTTCCTGATCTATAAAATGGGGGGTTGAACTAGATGATTCCCAAGGTCATCTTCTGTTATAAAATTTAATGATTCTAAGTCTCCAGCCCTCTTGGAAAGAGCACATCTGGCTATGTTTGTATGAATTGACTACACTCAGCACTTGTAATGAGCTAAAAAGGTTTCAAAGTGACACTAAGAGGGTAGCCATGATCCGAATCAATGAATTTGTTCATAGTTCATCTCCATGGAAAGAATGGAGACACAATAGGGGTCTTTAGCTAAGGTAGACTGTTTGGGACCAGGCCTCAGCAAAAGAAGCTCCCACAAAGAAAGGTCAGGGCCTCAACTTCGGTGCTTAAACTCACCTCCCCTGGAATTTCACCCACTGGATGTCCCAAGAATGCCAACTCTCCCTTCCTAAGCCTCTAATCCAACAAGGAGACAGGCTGTGACTTCGCATGTGGATGTATAGAGCTCCTGGACAGATAGAAATAAGTTCTTGCGGAAGGGATGGGTAATTACACTGGCTGGTCAGGCACTTTCAAAGCCAAAATGCTCACCTTTTGTGCCTGAGTCCGAGATAAAGGGCCTCACTCCAGAAGTCTGATACCTTCCTAAGACCTAAAATTCATCCAGAACCGCATTTATTCTTGGGTCTACATTTCTGCTCATCTTGCTCTTTAACTATGGTAACCCCAGTGTTTCTCTCCCCGTTGACTGCCTACGTTCACCCTGATTTACATCATGGACTTCTAAGTGTTGGAAACAGCACTGACACAAATATGCACACTGTACTCACAGCGGGTGGGTGTACATGGATGCACTCACACAGGTGCACACTTCCTTTTCAAAGATTTTTGTCAAAAAAAAAAATTAAGCTCCTTGGGCAACCTCAAAGTTAAAGTCTTAAAGTGTGGTATTTGCATTCACAAATACTAGTGTATTTATAGGGCATTGTACCAAGAAGATCCAAAAAATGTTTGCTTAGTTGAATTACTCTTTTTTTTAGGTTAGAGTGTCTCCCTCATTTTAAAATAATTACTCCTTATATATGTGAAATATATTCAAACTTTTTTAGAACTCTGAACTTTTCTTCTGGACTTAATAAAGAAAATAACATTGACCACCGTGAAATTTTAAATGAACCTGTTATTTTTGGAATAAGTTATCTCTGGCTGATAGATAAGCAGCTGTTATGGGTTGAATTCTGTCCTCCTTCTCCAGATTCATATGTTGAAGTCCTAACCTCCAGTCCTGAGAATGTGATCTTATCTGGAGATAGAGTCATTGCAGATGTAATTAGCTGAGATGAGGTCATAGTGGAGCAGGGTGGGCCCCTAATCCAATATGACTGGTGTCCTTATAAAAAGGGGAAATTTGGAGAATGACACATATAGGGAGAACATGATGTGAAAATGAAGGCAGAGATCAAGGTGTTGCTTCTTCAAGTCAAGGAGCAGCACAGTTTGCCAGCAAAACACCAGAAGCTAGAAGAGAGGCATGAACCAGATTCTCCCTCACAGCACTCGAAAGGAACCAACCCTGCCAACACCTCAATCTTGAACTTCTGGTCTCTAGGACGGTAAGACAATAAATTGTCTGCTGTTTAAGCCTCCATTTATAGCACTTTGTTATGTCAGCCATAGGAAACTAAAACAATAACCAAATTTGAGGATTTTCTTCTCTAGGCTTATTTCCAAATTATCTAGGCCGAATGCCTCTAACAATTTGTATAAGTCTGCTTTGTTCATTCTACTAAC